ACAAGAATAATTTTACTTTTCAATTGTCTACTGTTGAAAATTTAAAAATTCAGGCCTGGCATGGTAACTTGACTCATGCCTGTAATCCCAACATTTTGGGAAGCCGAGGCAGGAGGATTGCTTGAGATCAGGAGTTCACAACCAGCCTGGGCAACATAGGGAGACCCTCCATCTCTACTAAAATTTTTTTTTTTTAGTCAGGTGTGGTTCCACACGTTTGTGGTCCCAGCTACTCCAGAGACTGAGTTGGGAGGATCCCTTGAGCACAGGAGGTTGAGGCTGTAGTAAGCTGTGATGGTGCCACTGCACTCCAGCCTGGACAACAGAGCAAGACCCTGTGTCTCGGCGGGTGGGGGGAAAGAAAATCAGATTCTCCCTTGGGAAGAATAAAAAGGAAATAGTCATAATGCTGTTCTTCCATATTTTCAGCCAGCAGAAGAAATATCATAGTGACCCAGGGTGAAAAATTTCTAATCACTCTTTCTAAAAGCAGTCCTAATTAAAGTCAACATGAACTGATTTTTCAGAATTTATTGTATATATAGATAGACCATATTTATAGATGCTTTATATAGTCTAGCAGTAGCCTCTGAGTTTCATTAGAGTACTTACTGAGCAATAATTTGCTTGAGTATTTATAGACTGAAAAAACAAAACGCTACATTCTCCTGTTATTTTCAGGAGAAAAATCAGGCAGTTTTACAGTTAGTCAAGAGCATTACTCAATCATTTTCAAGCAACTGTATATGACAATTTTGGCTCCTATTTCCCATCATTACAGGATGCCTCAAAGGTTCATAAAACCATATACAAATTATCAATTTACTTTTCAAAACTTGGTTTGCATTTTGGTCAATTATTGCAATTTTAATAACTTGTAATTTAAATCACCTAAAAACTTACATAATTTGAGGTAAACACTAAGCTGTCACATATCAACTCTACTACAACATGCCAGCAGTTTTATAATAAAAGATTATCTCAATAAGCTTGGAAATGTTCCCATAGCACCAAGCTAGAAGGCAATTTAAAATCAAATTAATATTCTGAAAAATAATCTCAAATCATGCAAATACTATAAATTAGTAATGAAGCTAAAATTATTAAGGTGGTTTATTATTTTGAATTCTCTTTCTGCATTCTTATTAAATCTTTATGGATACTTCCTCTTCTGATTTAATAAGACTATCTGAAAGAGCTAATATTAAATCCCACAAATGAAAATATTGATGAACACACTGTAAAACATGGTTCCCTGGTTTTGTTCTCGGGTAATTTAACTGTGTAATGACATTGCTAAATTCAATACAAACATATTCTCCATAAAAGAAAATGCAACATCAAAAACAATCCCAAATGAGGAGCCTGCCCAGCTGGTAGGCTTGAAAATTTAAGAACTGATTAGTTCAATCTGGAATGTCTATATTTGCAGTGTGCAGCAAATCTGAGACAGGATTCCTTTTGTTTTCCTGGCAGTGGTAGAAGTACCATTCATATGTTTGAATAACTCAATAATTATGCCCTGAGGGAACTTAACCTAGATTTTTATTTTTTATGCTCTATATTTTCCCATTTTAGGAGTGGTTAGAAAACTCTCTTTCCACTTTTAAATGGTTGAATATAAACATATATACGCATATTAAAGAAGAATAATACAATAAAACATTTTATACTATGTTTATTTTCCCTATTGTATCCTCTTACTTCCCATCATCTTTCCCTCAGACATAAGCACCAGCTTGAATTTTGTGTTAATCCTTCCTTTTTTTTTACACTTTTTGCCATCAGTGCAGGTATTTTTAAATAGAAGGTATTTTTAGATAGAATTTTTTCCATTTTTCCAGTTTTAAACTTTAAGTGGAATAATACTACAGCATTTTTCAATGACTTAATTCTTCTGCTCGAGATTATGTTTTTGACATTGATCCATGTTGATGTCAGTAGCTGAGGTCATTCATATTCCCAACTATATGGTATACCAAGGTATAAATATATCCCAGTTTATCCTGTGATGTATATTTGAATTAGCTAGAATTTGAGACTATTAAAAAACTATTCTTGCGTGTGACTTTTGCTACACGTGCACAAGTACTTCCCTTGTACATGTGTAAACATCTAGGAGAGGAAATGCTGGGTTGTAGGATATGCAGAAGTTAAACTTTATTAGGTAATGCCAAGTAAATTGCACCATTTACACTTGCATTAGTTATGGGTGAGATTTCCTGCTGCTCCAGATCCTCACAAACAGTGGCACTGTCAGACTTTCAAAGTTGTGTCAAACTAGTAGGGAGAAATACTATATGATAGTATTATAAATTTATATTAATTTCATTACTGACAAAGTTAACTAGATACTTATTGATTACATGTGTCGCAAAAAATACTAGTTTGTGGTTGTATTTTTATTTTTTAGTTCTTCTTAACAACAGGAAGGTTTTAATTTTAATGTTCCAAACTTTTATTTTATGATTTGCAAATTTTTTGACCTGATGAGTTCACAAAAAAATCCTTCCCTACTTGTCAAAATTTTCTAATGATAAATTTATAGTTTTATAATATGAATTTTTACATTTACCTCCCCACACCAAGAATTGATTTGTATAAAGATGCATAAAGTACAAAAAAATTTTAATTAGTTTTCTTCATGAATAGCCAATAGTCCCCCAAGCATTTATTGAATACCTTGTCCTTTTCACACTGATCAATGTCACTTTTATAATTTTTTTTTTTTTTTTTTTGAGATGGAGTCTCGCTCTGTTACCCAGGCTGGAGTACAGTGGCGCATCTCAGTTCACCGCAACCTCTGCCTCCTGGGTTCAAGCAATTCTCTGCCTCAGCCTCCAGAGTAGCTGGGATTACAGACGCCCACCATCACACCCGGCTAATTTTGTGTATTTTTAGTACAGACAGGGTTTCACCATATTGGCCAGGCTGGTCTTGAACCCCTGACCTTGTGATCCACCCCCATCAGCCTCCCTAAGTGCTGGGATTACAGGCGTGAGCCACCGCACCCAGCCTGTCACTTTTATAATTTATCAATTACTCTTTTTCTCTGATGCCCTGCAGTCTCATTAAGATGGGTTTAGTTTTGGATTCCCATGACTTAACTGTTGCAGAATTCTTTGGAATTACTGTGTCTGGGTACTGATGGACATCTTTTAATAGTTCCTGAAAATAATTCTCTTTTTGTATTTAGTCTGTTACCTCCATTTGGAACCTCAATTGAATACATATTACATCTTTCCACTCTCTCCTCCCTGTCTCCCACATATTTTATATTTTACATTCTCTTATTCATATTTCCCATTTTTAAATATCTTAACTTAGTTATTGATAATTTCTTCAGTTCTTTTAGTGAACAAATTCTTGCTTCATCTATGTCTAATCTGCTTTTAAACTTACCCACTTTGTTCTCTCTTCTTTTCTTAAGCATTATGTTGATTGCTTAGAAGTTCTCTGGTTCCTTCCCAAGTCTTGTCCCTTTCTCACAGTTTTCAGCTTATCTTTTTATTTCTTATAGTTACGTTAAAAATTGTCATTTTAATTCTGTCTGATAAGTGTGATATCTGCAAAACATCCCAGATCTGTGTTTTTACATCCATAATTTCCCCTGGATCTTCCCCATAGTACTTTGTTTTCGTGTGTATGTATGTGTGTGTGGCTTTTTTCTTTTGATTTTGGTATTAGGTTATTACACATTTTAATAACCTTCATCTTCCAGGTGGGTTAAATGTAAAAACCCATACTATAAAACTGCAAATTTATCATTAGGAAATTAAGTTGGGAAGGATTTTTGTGAACTAGTCAGGTCAAAAATTTACAAATTATAAAATAAAATATGTTTCATTTAAAACATTAAAATTAAACCTTCCAGCTTATCAAGAACAACTAAAAGATAAAAATACAACCACAAACTAGAACCTTATTTTTTATAACACACAGAATCTGTGAAAATTATTTGAGGATAGGATTGAAGTTGGCATCTTCTGGGGGGAATAATATTTCCTAGATTCCTTCTATCATTGCTAACAACAGGGCTCTTAAGTTAAATTCGCCAATTACATTTTTTTTTTCAATATACACACATAGTGTAATTGTCATGTTTTTCCCTTTCCTATGAGCTCAGAGAAGTGCCTAATAGTTTTTTTTAAAACATTTTTTAATATATTTAACCCAATATTTTCATAATTTTAATCAGATGGATTGTTCAGGGTCCCCAATCTGCTATAATGCCAGAACTAGGATGGTACTCACATTTTTAGCCATTTCCATCCCCCGCCCCGTGTTTTCTTAACTCTTAGCTGGTGAGCTGTTATGAAAGGGTGGACTTGAATACAAGTTTACTTCTCCAAATATAAGATTTCTGATTTCAAAGTAATGACACTTCTGGGATCCATCATTGGGCTCTAGCAGAAATACGGTAGATGACCTAATTCATTCCCAGAGGTAGACCTCAGATTGCAGAAGACCATCAGAACCAAGAGTACAACACACCAGGATCTGGACTTTCCACTGTTTTTAAAGTTTTTACAGTTACTAGGCTGCAATCTTCAAACTCTGCCACAAGAAAAACTCCAGAAGTAACTCCGAGCTCTGAAGTTTCAGCTGTATATTACCTACAGGAAGTTGTGCAGGTCCTCCATTTTCTTGCTTTTTTTGTATTTTTTACTTCTTGGGTTACCTCTAAAACTCTGAATCTCACCATCATTCTTGCTTGGATTTGATGACCTGGTCACTGACAGTAAGTTCTTCCCTTGGGTCTTTTAGCTCTTTCTTTCCTCTACAGTAATTTGCCTTCCACAAACCTTTTCCTATCTTGGACCTATTCCATTTGTTCTTTTCCTGGATTTATGAGTTATCTCTAGTCACTCCTTGTCCTCCTTAAGCACCCAACTTGTCTAGATCTATAAATTACAAAAAGTAGAACTCAGAAGGGAGTTACTTGCCTCCTCCAGTTAATGGTGCACTTACTACTCAAACCAGATTGTTGGGAGGGTTACCTGAATCGGTCTTCCATCAGGTGTCAGCACCTCTTCTGAAAGTTCCATCATCTTCAAGGCCATCAGAGCAATGGGTTTAGCGTGGCAGAGGCTTTTTCTGTGGAGCCCTGCTGCAACACAGTAGGCATCACCTATTGTTTCCACCTGCAGCAATCAGACAAATCAAATGCAAACGTATGATAATGAGCCCGAAGAGAAATGATTAGTTATCTGCAATCACAAATGTTGCTGAAAAACACGTCGGCAAAACATCAATAAATTGAGCAATTAGACAACTGTGTATAATCACAGCAGAGTTTGCAAACAGCCACAGTCAAATACTGACATCTCACTCCAGGGTTGTTCATTAACACTATCGCTAGAGATGATCATTGAAATTAGGAACAACTATAATATAAAATAATTATCCCCCACGAAAATAGAACTGTCAGTATTTTGCCTAGATAATTTCCAAATGATCGCCTTTTCCAGAGCCATCTCTTCATCTCCTTCCAACTTTCAAGTATTCCTTTGGGAAGTATTTTTTTTCCCCAATTTTTCCACCTGAAGAAAATTGTTCCACACTTTTAGATATATCTGTAATTTTTCATCAGGTCTGTTCTTTCTTACTCTTAAAAATTGTAATGCCTAACGTTTCTTAAATGTTCATACTGCATACCGTTAATTGTGTCAACCACTTTATGTACATGGTCCCATTTTATCTTCGCAAATATCCTACATCAAAGAAACAAGTATTAGGCCAGGTGTGGTGGCTCACGCCTGTGAGTACTTTGGGAGGCCGAGGCAGCGGGTCACGAGGTCAGGAGATCGAGACCATCCTGGCCAACATGGTAAAACCCCATCTCTACTAAATATACAAAAATTAACTGGGTGTAATGGTGCATGCCTGCCCAGCTACTAGGGAGGCTGAGGCAGGAGAATTGCTTGAACCCGCGAGGCGGAGGTTGCAGTGAGCCAAGATCACGCCACTGCACTCTAGCCTGGTGACAGAGTAAGACTTGGTCTCAAAAAAAAAAAAAAAAAAGTGGCACATATACACCATGGAATACTATTCATCTATTAAAAAGATGAGTTCATGTCCTTTGCAGGGACATGGATGAAGCTACTAAAAAGATGAGTTCATGTCCTTTGCAGGGACAGGGACAAAACATGAAACCATTGTTTTCAGCCAACTAACACAGGAACAGAAAACCAAACACTGCATGTTCTCACTCATAAGCAGGAGTTGAACAATGACAACACACGGACACAGGGAGAGGAACATCACATGCTGGAGCCTGTCAGGGGGTGGGGGACTAGGGGAGGGGTAGCATTAGGAGAAATACCTAATGTAGATGACGGTTGATGGGTGCAGCAAACCACCATGGCACGTGTATACCTATGTAACAAACCTGCGTGTTCTGCACATGTACCCCAGAACTGAAAGTATAATTTTAAAAAAAGAAACAAGCATTAGTGATATTTGAAAGATGAAAAATTGAGGTGCAGTGGCCCATCCATAACCACATAATTGAGAGTCAACAGCTACTGTATGGGTCTACTCTCTTCTAATTCTGTTGTCAGCATCCATTCTGAATGGCCATTGCTGTTGATAAATATTTTAAATATTTACCCCATTTCCACAGCATAGAACATGGAATAAAAGTTCTATTACTTTAGATAAAAGCTCTCTAATTATCCACAATAGAGATGGTGGTTTAATGGCAAAAACTGCAATTACTTTTGCACCAACCTAATAAAATCCTCAATAGTTTTAATGTTATTAATTAGGCTGAAGTGATGAAAAATTGTACTAAATGCACAATTCCAGTGTCACTTTTTCTGTGATGTGCTCCATGTTCCTTCCTTTAGTTTTTATCAAATTATTTCTCAAAGAACTAATCCTTTCTTTATTCTGTTTCGACAGCACTTCCACATATCTCTGCTTTAACATTCAGCACAAGCTATAATCAATATGTATCTATATAAAGTCAATACGTATCCCTGGCTACAATGTGAGCTTTTAAGAAATGGGACTATGTTTTTTTCATCTCTGTATTCACAGAACTTAGCATAATGTCTATGATATAGCTATTTATTAAATAATATTTACTGAATATTTGCTAAATGAATAAATAAGTCAATCAACCATGCTAACCATAATTACAGTAAGTAATTTTCACTCTTGGCTTATTTTCATCATTCATTTTATGAGTGCCACCTAGATCTGTGTGCTATGTAGATCTGTATAGGAAAATGCATCAGTGATGGAGATGCTTCCAGCATAAATATACCAAGAATTATAAAATATTCTATTATTTTTAATATCAAAAATTAAATTTCCATGTAAAAGCGTTCCAACACTACAATATTAAAAAGATATACTGCATGAAATTATATGAGCACTAATTTAGGGAATATTATGAGAATACTTAAGAAGCTCATGGGACCAACACTGCAAAACTTATCACTTGATCATCAGGAAATATGCATCAAAACTGATTCAAATACCCCCAGAGCTATCATTATATTCAAAAATTTCACTTTAAGACCTGTTTTCTGATGCCAGAAAAATGAAAATAAACTTATACTGTAAGAATAGAAAGACAATGCAGTATGAGTTGGCAAAAGTTTTATTCCAAAGACTAAAATATACTTCCTGGAAATGACACCCATCAAAGAATAAACATCTAAAATGTGGCTATTTACTATTTTTCCCCTAATAAGACAATGTTCTTTGCTAATCCTCATATTATCCCACCCTTTCATATTTATTTCTGGTTTTCAGATACCAGAACATATAGTCAGTAAATTGCCTGCACAAATCAAAATGCTTTGCAGTCGCTCTGAACATGCAAGTTCCTAGAGCACAATCACTTCCTGAAATGTCTATCATCATCATCGTCATCCTCATCAACATCTCAATTATCTTTTCAGAAAAAGATGCACTGAATTCCATTAAATGTGTATTCTAGAATTTGCACAAGAATACACAGAGATTAGTTATATGTTGCATTTTCTCCTTAAAAAGTTGGACCAATATGTTACCAACTGATATAACATATAAATGAATGAAGTACAAAATAAATATGGGCACAGTGTAAATATAGCAAATTCATATTAAAATTCATACATGATTGTATAAAACTTTAAGACTAGGCGTGGTGGCTGACACCTGGAATCCCAACATTTTGGGAGACCAAGGCAGGAGGGCTGCTTGAGTCTCGGAGTTCAAGACCAGCCTGCGCAACATAGTGAGACCTCAATCTCCTCTACAAAAAAATAAAAAATAAAATTATCCAGGTAAAGTGGCCCTTACCTATAGTTCCAGCTACTTGGGATCGCTAGAGCCCAGGAGATCAAGGCTGCAGAGGAAAAAAGGTTCTGACTAATTGTACAGGAACTCTTAAAGCTTCCTCCCAGATGTGACATATATATCTTCTTTTCATGATTTATTGACCAGAGCAAGTTACATGGTTATGCTTAACATATAGAGAATGGGAAAAGGCAAACTACCTTGTGCACAGAAGAGAAGAGTCAGAAATATTTAGTAGACAGCATTAATGAAGACATGAATGAATAAATAATCACACATTCTCTAATATCAAAATGTCTGGAAAGGTTAAGTAGTTGGCATATACATTAAGTAAAGTCTAATATATCTTTGTGATTTTTTTTTTCTTTCCAGATATATTCAGCCCCTGAAGAATACTGGCAGAAACACAACTGTCTTAATGCAGCTTTCCAGGAATGCTCCATTTTTTCTCTCTTCTTCCTTCCTCTAAGGCAGCTCTATACGAGTTTAGCAAAATTAAATATATGTGGAAGTGTTAGCAGATTCCTTCGAAGTAATTAGTGGGTTTTGCTTCATGAGGAGCAGGAAAAGTGAAAGTGACATGTATCAATTCCATTGCTCCTGAGTTTATTTCCTTGAGCTAAACCAAAATGAAACAAGGGGGCATTGTAAATAGACTACAAAAACAAAAAACAAAAAACCTGTCCAAAAAGTTGACTTTGTTCTGAATTCCTTTATAATTGCCTCAGTGTTTTTATACAGTTTTAAGTACAACAGACACAGTTTAAAATAGTGCATTTCATTTATTTTCACCATCTCCCACCTGTTCGTGAATGGCACTGGATAAGAATAAAGATGGCTAAACTGAGCATGGAGATGGGGAAAAGATAATGCTTATGCAAATGTCTGAAAAACTTACATTATTTTCTAAACATAGAAGAGGAGGCTTAAGTACTAAAAATATATACAACTGCTCCCTTACATATTACTATAGCTGCTTTTATAAAACTTTAAAGAATTTGCCTATCTCAGTTTATATTTTCTCAAAACTTTAGAATCAAAGTCCTTACATTATTCCAGAAATAAAGGTGGTATAAATAAATATATTAGAGTTATGCATTCACCTTGTTTTTTGTTTGATTTTTAAGACAGGGTCTCACTCTGCCACCCAGACTGGAGTACAGTGGCATGATCTGGGCTCTCTGCAACCTCTCCATCCCGGGCTCAAGCAATCCTCCCACCTCAGCCTCCCATGTACTCAGCCTCCCATGTAGCTGGGACTACAGGTACATGTCACCATGCCTGGCTATTTTTTTTTTTTTTAATTTTTTTAGAGACAGGGTTTCGCCATGTTGCCCAGGCTAGTCTCGAACTCCTGGACTCAAGATATTTGCCCACCTTAGCCTCTCAAAGTGCTGGGATTACAGGCATGAGCCCCTGCGTCCATCCCATTTACCTAGTTTGTTTATTTTAGTTTTAGATCATTTAAAAGAATTTCTTTTAGTTACTAATAGAATTTCATTCCCATAACAGTTTTCTCCTTGCCCTCTAGGTTAATACTCAAGAAATATCTGGGAATTTCTTGGATATTTGGGCACAGATGGAAGAAAGGAGTGGAGGTGAGGGGGTCGGTATTGAGGATAAGATTAGCCAAAAGAACAATGTACACAATTAGGCAAATAACCATCCCTGTTCCATGGGACTCGTGACCACCTCAGTCCTTCAACTGCACAGTCTTAGATCTGTCCCTCTTTGAATTTTCTATGGGGCATAAGAGCAGAGGGTCAGAGAGCTCTGGTAATCTACTTTACTGAACAATCTTCCCTGGATACAATCAAGAGAAGCAGCAAATTAGGAAGTCTGCTTTCCA